TCCACATTTTCTGGACTGTTGGTGCAATCACGTTTATTTAGTATGCTTCTTCTTAGATGATCCGCTCTCAGTCTTTCTGCAATTATTATTATTATTTTTGTGGGGGGAGGGGGTGGGAGGGGGGTTATATTTTAACCTTCAGTCTCATTCCCTTCCTGATTTGCTCCCTCCACTCATCAAGGTCTGTGGAATTTTTGTTCCCACTAATCTACCTTAATACAGGTCGCTTTCAAATCCAGCTGCGACTCACTGCAGCCTACGGTCGGTGTTCGAAACCGGGCGGTTCCCGGGGTTCACCCAGCCTCTAGGACTCTAGGAAATGGGTACCAGAGTTGACACTCTGGGGTAAATAGAGGAACGTCGCTGTAGCTACAGAGTTACGTGCGAACGGCGACACAAGCGGACATTTCTTATCAGCTGTCCGCACTGGTGGCAGAGCACTTATGGTTAATAACCGTGTGCAATGACGCTGGTTCAAATCTCCCGACTTTACCTTTACATTTACAGGTATTATTCATGTCCCGCTAGTACATATGTTGATATCGCTGTAGAAGCCGGCCTCGATATCTTCTCCCTACCTGTAATTCACCAGAGAGGATGACCTTAAGGACTCTACCATCCTTCATTCTCCTGGTGTGACCTAGCCACCTTAGTCTTCAGACGCTCAGCATTGAGAGAACGTCCTTGCATTATGAACCTTGCTAATACAACAGTTTACACAAAGCTGACAATGACTTGATGATGCCTACGATAATGATGACACCCCTGCCTACCTTCATTCTTCTTGTCCAGCTCTAGAACTTCTTTTATATCATCTATCTCTGCCTGGACGTCCTGTTTGTCTCTGATCCGTTGCAGTACTTTGATCGCCTGCTCCTCCCGTCCTTTGACCACTAACCAACGAGGAGACTCCGGGAGGTACAGGAAGCCGATGAACTGAATGATAGCGGGCACGCCAGCCAAAGCCAGCATATACCTGTGGGATATGGTTGGATGCATGTATTCATGTACACATTTATGGGCTCTGATTGTCTTGTCTTCAGCTTTTCCTTTTCTTTTTTTTTTATTTCCTTACTCTTTTCTCCTCCCCCTCCACATCTAACTTCTTCTTTGCCTTCATTTCTTATTTGTTTCCTTTTTTCCTTTTCATTGTCCTGCATCTTCTTTCTTCTTCTTTCTTCTTCTTCTTCCTCTTCTTCTTCTTCTTCTTCTTCTTCTTCTTCTTCTTCTTCTTCTTCTTCTTCTTCTTCTTCTTCTTCTTCTTCTTCTTCTTCTTCTTATTTTTCTTCTTCTTCTTCTTCTTCTTCTTCTTCTTTTTCTTCTGCTTCTTCATCTTTTACTTCTTCTTCTTCTTCTTCTTCTTCTTCTTCTTCTTCTTCTTCTTCTTCTTCTTCTTCTTCTCTTCTTCTTCTTCTTCTTCTTCTTCTTCTTCTTCTTCTTCTTCTTCTTCTTCTTCTTCTTCTTCTTCTTCTTCTCTTCTTCTTCTTCTTCTTCTTCTTCTTCTTCTTCTTCTTCTTTTCTTCTTCTATTCTTTTTCTTCTTCTTCTTTCTTCATCTATCTTTCTTTCTTTCTTTCTTTCTTTCTTTCTTTCTTCTTTCTTCTTTTCTTTCTTTCTTTTTCTTTCTTTCTTTCTTTCTTTCTTTCTTTCTTTCTTTCTTTCTTTCTTTCTTTCTTTCTTTCTTTCTTTCTTTCTTTCTTTCTTTCTTTCTTTCTTGCTTGCTTGCTTGCTTGCTTGCTTTGCTTGCTTGCTTGCTTGCTTGCTTGCTTGCTTGCTTTGCTTTCTTTCTTTCTTTCTTTCTTCTTTCTTTCTTTCTTTTCTTTCTTTCTTCTTTCTTTCTTTCTTTTTCTTTCTTTCTTTTTCTTTCTTTCTTTCTTTCTTTCTTTCTTTCTTTCTTTCTTTCTTTCTTTCTTTCTTTCTTTCTTTCTTTCTTTCTTTCTTTCTTTCTTTCTTTCTTTCTTTCTTTCTTTCTTTCTTTCTCTCACTCTCCACCTCTTCTCTTCCTCATCTCTCTCTCTCTCTCTCTCTCTCTCTCTCTCTCTCTCTAAAACAAGACGAATATAGGCTACCTCCAACCGTCCTCCTTCATCGTGCTGAAGGCGCCAGCGATAATACTGGAGATGAGGATACCAATGGTGATAAATAACTGGTTCAAGGTCACCAGACGACCACGAATGGCTGGGGGCGCAGCTTCCGCCACGTACACAGGGACTGTCATGGATGCGAACCCTGGACATTAGAAACAGTGTATGATACATTCGCTTCAGTGGTTAATACTAGGGTGTGTACGGCTCTTAGAATAGTCGTAGTAGTAGTTGCGGTGGTAGTAGTAGTAGCTGCAGCAGTAGTAGTAGCAGCAGCATAAGTGGTGGTGGTGGTTGTGGTGGTAGAATGATAGTAGTAGTAGTAGTAGTAGTAGTAGTAGTAGTAGTAGTAGTAGTAGTAGTAGTAGTAGTAGTAGTAGTAGTAGTAGTAGTAGTAGTAGTAGTAGTAGTAGTAGTAGTAGTAGTAGTAGTAGTAGTAGTAGTAGTAGTAGTAGTAGTAGTACTATTAGTAGTGGTAGTAGAAGTAGTAGTAGAATCAGATGCAGTAGCTATAGCAGCAGTAGAATTTCTTGTAGTTTAACAGTAATAATAGAAATAATAATTGAAATAGTGGTGGTAGTAGTAGTATGGTATCATCATCATCGTGAACATTATAATTATCATCAATAGCAGTAGCAGTAATAGTAGCCTAGTGGTAGCGGCAGTTGTTGCTGTTAATGACATTGTTTTATTTACAGACATTCTAATGACAATGTGGTAATAAAATTATAAGTAAATTCGTTCAGAGAAAAAAAAAGTTTTTATTTAATGTATTGACAGTTGCAGAATCATTAAAGGTGGGAGCATGTGAGGCCTTGTACTAAGGCTGTCGTAAGAAGCGATTGATGAAGGACTTGCTTAAAACGATACGTTGGGCAAAATATATCCTAGTCTAGATCTAACGCTTTACACAACCGACCTAAACAGAAAGGGCGAACGCTGAAGAAAGAGGATGAGAGGAAGAAGAAAAAGAAGATGATGCTGATTGTTTGTTCGTTTATACAACGTATCAACATCATGGCACAAGGGTAGTAACCCATAAGTGTTCCGTTCACTTCCAACTCAAGCCTTATCCTAAAGAATCTCAGCGCAGTGCACGAACTCTGTAGCGCCGACGAGGATCCTGAAATACGTTGGGTAGATTTCTAACTCAAGATTTTTCCTGGGCAGTGCCGTTAGGCTACTCTTTTCGATTTCCAACTGCCAGGGGGGTTTTTGCGTGCACAATAATGCACACAGGCGTCCATCTTACTACCCAGAGACGAGGGGAAATAACTAAGTACACGTGAAAAAATGCATAGCCTTCACTGGGGCCTGAAGCCGGGACCTCTAGCACTCGATGCCAACGCCATACATCGAGATCACTCAGTTTCCCCCCCCCCCCCCCGCAATGATGATGATGATTATGATGATGGTGGTGGTGGTGGTGGTAATGATAATGATGATCTTAGAAAGCCCGCTAAACACAAACTTACCAATTCCAATACCCACAATGACACGACCGATCAGCAGCATCTCTTTGCTCTGTGCCGCACCCATAACCACGGCGCCCACCACGAAGACAACAGAGGCGATCATGATGGTGATCTGGGGGTTGAACAGGGAACAGCTGTGAGGTTAACACGCCCGAAACTGGGTAGCTCAGGTCGTGAAATGATAGCCATTACACATCGGTCTGTAAGGCTGATAACCTGTCTTACCTGTAATCTGCACAAAATTCAAACGTGGACTCGCCCAGAAATATATAGTCCCTTATATCTATATATATAGGCCTGTATTGGACAACATTATTATGTCTGCCTTTTCTGGTTACTTTAACTAAATTCCACTTTTAAATGTATATCTCTTAGAGATATATTAAGGGAGTTATTTGAGGTTTCTTGGAAACCGATTTACTCCTTGCCCCAGTATACAAGGGACTTCTTTTGTACCAACGCCTGAAGTGTCTAAGTGACGCTATTCTCCTTGCCAGCTTCTCAAGAGTCCAGATGTGTTAATCTGTGCCTGTATAAATTTCACTTTTCAAAGCAATTTGGAATGTCTCAGTTTTTACATATGCTTGGGTAAGTTAATTATAGTTTACGAGTACCTAGAATGATGTCTGTAAAGTAGTCACTGCTGTAGAGAAATCAGTATCGGCTGTGTTATCTCACTTAGTTCGACCGTTCTTGATCGCTAGAGAAGCGGATTCGAACGTAGATCTTCCACTGTACAGACTAAATAGCTTATGCCCTCAATAAACCACCCATACTGATAAAACGTAATACCCTTTACAATTGTGTACGGTTTAAACTAATTAAAGAATCTGTACATACGGAATGGGGACAGAATTGGGTCAGGGCTGTGTTAATCAAAGTATGTGTGTGTTTGACCCAGATCAATGAGTGCTGGGGCGGTTGGGAAAGCTAGTGAATGCAGGTACTGACAGTAAATATTGGTGTCTGTGTGCAGAGTGAGGGGGAGAGGGAGAGTGATATATGTGTTAGACCACTTTATCTATCTCCACTGTATATCTGACTTGTCTTCTCTTGCACTAAACAGACAGATAAATATAGGAGACTTATGTCTTTTGGTCTGGAGAGGCAATCTGAGGAATGAAACAGGAGAGCAGGGAGGAGTCAGCAGATGGGAGTTGATGACTGATGCTTGCTCTGTCTTTCCTGTCAAGATGTTACCCTCTTGGTGATGACTAATGTTGAGTTATTTTCTTGACAGGATGTATATTTTCTGAAGAGCTGGCAGAAGATTCACAGTCCAACCAACATCAACCAACCATCAAACCACCAGAAACAACTTGTTACCCACCAGCTAACACCTGTGAAGGTTCCTGACATCTCCAACATGTGGGAGATGGTACCTCAAACAGCTACCAGTGCTAGAGCTTAATGTGGCTCAAAGACATTGTGTGTCCTTACTGGTGATAGAGACTTGCTAAATACCGGTACAGTTGCTGTGTCCTATATAGTGAAGTACTCTTACTACTTGATCCAGTGGAGCAGAATTTCCCAGAGTCAAAGACAGTCGAA